CGTCCCGAAAGTGACTAAAGACCCGTGGTCTACTGTCCGTGTGAAAATATTGTCTGCGTGAAAAAATTGTGAGACTTTTCCCACATTTTAATGGTATAATTTTTATAATACATGAATAAAAAATACATGAAATTTTAAAAAATGTGGGAAAAATCTCGCTCCATCTTATAAGCTAGACTTTTGCCACACTTTTTTCCCCTAATTTTGTCACATTTTTTCACGCAGGTGTAGAGCAGTAATACTCAAATATTTAAAGCTGAGATTTATGACATTTTATGTTTGTGAATTATCATCGTACACATCATTATTTATGAAAGGGTCGATTATAAAATAATCTTCAATTAATTAAATTTAAATAAATAATAAATATTGTTTAAGTTAACTTATTTTAGGATATAACGATATTTGAAACCAAAGATTTAACGTTCTGTAAAGCAAAAAGATTTTCAGGATTTCTTTTTTTATGTGTTTTTCGCAGAGTGTTTAGTATGTTGTTTATAAGAAGGTGAAAAATATCTTTCGATTTTTGTTAAAAAATAAATAAACGATATCTATATTTTTTTATGAAAACTTCGATTTGTATGAAAATTTATAATAAGTATAATAGTATAACTTAGGGAATACATTGTATAATCGTTTAAATAGCGCCTATTTGCCATCCATCCTGTTCACGAAAATCATATTGGTGTAAGCAAATTTATTCGTGTTATTCCGGCATTCGTTAGGGTTGCTGAATGAATATAATCGATAATTTTAACCATTTCAAGTTTTACGAGAAAAATGTTACCATGAAATATTGTTATTTTTAATTATTAAATTGATTAATAGAAATATTTTTAAAAATTTTACCCAAAAACAGGTGTCTTTTGATTCATTCATTTTAATAGTATTCAATCTACATTCCAAAGACATATTGATCAAAAAATTCATTGAATATCAAACTAATTGTTAATTTTTTTAAAATGCAGAAAATCTTTTCATAAATGTATAAGATAAATTGATCACAATGAAACTGAATAATATTTTCAAGATCATAATATATAAGGCAAATTTAAACTCTTTTACTAATACATCTATTATATTTTTCAGATTTCGTCATTGCAAAGCTTTTCAATTGATCATCAAAAAATCAAAAAATGGATTAAAAGTGCCAGGTGGATAGAAAGTTAGAAATTAATTCTCGCCACAAAAGTTATCTAGGCGTTCCCTCGTTGAACGAAACAAATTCTGGTCGCAAAAAAAATGTATATAATCATTTATTATTCTCATATAATGTATAATTTATCGAATTTCCGTATCGTTTTACAATCAAGATCACTTTTTCTCGAAGCATGCAGTGAAATGAAAATTCTCTATTACAAACGATCATTTCTCAAAATTATAAACTTTATTTTTCTTCAATTTTCACATGTATCGTTAGAAATTCAGTCTATAGAAAAATGCATTGTATCCAATAAATGATATCCTCATAGTATCGTACCCTCTTATCTCTATCAAATTCTATTTTTGAATGCATCGTTTCAGGAAAGAAAGCTAGAATTTCATCGTAGTGTCGAGGTATTTTTCCACTCTTGACAAACGATCACTTTTGTTTATCAATTTGTTAAGCATATTTACAATTATAACGCTTGCTAATATTTTCAGCACACTATTTTTTTGTATACAAGTTTTGAAGTAAAATTATTCAACGCGCTCACTCATGACTAGAAAAAAAAAAGAAAAGACGCTGAAAACGAACAGTTTTACTTCAGTCGATGCATCCCATTTTTCTATATATTATATATACTGTTCTGCTATTAATGACGCTTACATGCAAGCCCGAAACTATGCTCAAGCACCCAGACCGTACTAACGCAAAAACGCCTCGGTTCTGCTTGGTCTGTTTGCAGAGGACGCGATGCTGTCGAGCGTCTGGCTGAGCGACGTCAACGAGGACGAGAACAACGTCGGCGTCGACGAGCCGTCGTCGTCGGCGCACCACTCGCAGCGCACCCACTTGCAGCGCGGCCACAATCAGCAGCATCAGCATCGGGTGGCGGTGCACGTGCCGCCGTCGCACGACATCGACGACTCGAATCTCGACGACCCGATGGTGCCCGAGCAGTTCCTCGAGGTCGACATCAATAATTTTTACCTGCCCACGCCGCCCGAGAGCAGCGAGCTCTGGCAGGACAATCTGCTGCTGCCCTCGACCACGAGCCCGTCCAAGGCCGGCAAGGCCAAGGGCAGCGGCGGTGGCTCGTCGTCGCGCTCGGCGCCGCGTCGCCGACTCTTCTGTCCACGCTGCACCAAGGCCTTCTCGCGCACCGACAGTCTGCGACGCCACGAGAAGCTCTACTGTCGCAACAATCCCAAAAGCGAGTACAAGATCAAGCAGGATCTCATCAGCAATACGGCGGCGGATCAGCTGGCGCTTAGCCAGGCGGTGACGGCGACTTTGAACGAGTCGTCCGCGAGCCCCGTCAAGGAGCCGCTGGCTCAGGAGGTTCAGCTGACCACCTCCTGACAATCAAAGAGCCGGCGTAAGAACCGGCGTAAGAAGGTCCACTTCGCGCAGACGGCCACCGACTCGAAAGAGCCGGGAATATTGCGCTGCCTGGCAGCCGTCAACGACTCGCATGCTTAAGCGAGAAAATTCAGAAAAAAATAACATAAAACAATTGCAGTAGTATTATCTGAGATCATTTAGCCAGGAGAGGCGTGTGTTTTGTACGTTATAAGTCGCTAGATCAAATTTAAACCGTATGCTCGAGTGTTCATTACATCACCACCCACCTAAGCTAACAGATTTTCGATTTTAAAAAATTAAAAGCAAAAACAAAAATTGTTATACACGCGAGCGTTTCGAGAGGCTCATGATGTTTTTACCAAAATAAGATATCGATTGTAAGTAGAGAGCGATGTTGAGATATGTAAACTCTATATCGACGTAGCAATATAACATTCAAATTAGATTATAAATTTAAGGTGAAAAATAGTTTTAAGCGAGTACATTTAGTTGATATCGAATTAAAAAAAAACTTTGTGATATTTTAGAGATTTTTTCTCTAGAATTTTTTTTATGCTTTAAATGTCGTTCTAGATAGGCTTGATTTTTTTTCAGGTTTGGATCATAAATACTTTCAAAAAGTATTGATACTCTTGTTTGCATGATTTCGAATGATAAAATTTTCACACATCAATGTGAATTTTATTATTTGGAGTTTTGTCTATGCTTTATTGTACAAATTTCGGAATTGATAAAAAAAAAGTACTTTAAGATTCAAATTCTAGTTGTACAGCCTGCAAAGGCTAACTAAAATATGTAGGTTTACGAAAAAATTGTGTAAATGTTCTGGGAAATATTTGATAAATTTTACTAGCTCACCCATTGAATTCTTATCAGTTATTAGGTTATTGTACATTGTAAATTTGCAATTATTGCACATAGTTTTTAAGTTTAACAGCAGCGTACAGCCATAACTACTTTAATGCCATTACCAAAAATAAATATACTTAATCTTAAGAATCATTGATTAGGTTTAAGCTGTACATATAAGAAGAAAATCGTTCAAACTTACGCGTATTAACAGTTTATAAATGTTCTTCATCTGTATTATAGTTACAATAAAGTAAAGTATAAAAATGATAGCTTTTCGGGGTTTTCAATTACTGTCACACAGATTTATCATGTGTTAAATTTATTTTTCAAGTTTTAGGTTTTATATTATTTTTGATAAAGGATCTTATAAAAAAAGGTAACAATTTTTCTTTAATTATTCTAAAAAAAATTTTTTTCATTATTGAATTTGAAATCGTTGCTTTTCCGAAGAAACCCAAACGATTCTCAGAGCCTCAACTAACCAATTTTTTACGTGTTTCAGATTCGGACGACAGCAGCAACGCCGAATTACCTCTGGAAGTTTGTCCGACCGTGTCGAGTTTGTACTACTACTCGCCCGAGACCGTGGTCAAGCACGTTTGCGTCTTGTGCGGCTGCTGCTTCGCGAGCCCGAGCTCGCTTGGCGAGCATCAACGGGACTGCTGTCAAAATCGCGCCAAACAACAACAGCAGCAGCAGCAACATCGACAGCAGCAGCAACAATTCGAAACTCGATTTCCCTGTTTCATATGTAAAAAAGTTTATCTCAGTCGCACGAGCCTCAGTAGGCATCGACGGGCCAATTGTCCAGGCTCTAGACTGGCCATATGCGGCATCTGCGACCGAGAGTTTCCCAATCATGACGTCATGATGCTGCACAGGGAGGAGCACTTTCACGACAAGCCGAGCATTTAGAGTGATTTTATCGATTTTGCGATTCGTTGTAATTCCTGAAGTTCCGAATGTATTTAATTATTGTAAAAAAACTCATCCACGCATATTATACGTAAGATTATAACGCAATAATTTTGTAATAAATATTTCAGATCGTATCATGTCTTTCTGAAATTAATAATTTAACAAACCTTCAGTGTAAATCGATGCATTTTTGGAATGAAAATAATTTTTTATACGATTTCTCAGGTTTCAGTTTGCATGGCTTTGATTAATGCACTTCTCTAAAGAGTTCAGATAGAAGGTATTAAAAGAGAAGAAGTTACACGTTATCGCATTTAAAGATGTCAAGAAGAGCTGCGGCAGAATTATATATAAAATCTGAGTCTAGAAGTGTGGATAAGTTGACAACTAGTCGAATGGTCTACAACATCATGAGCGTCCAGAGCACAACCATTAAACTGACAAATTTAGTTTTCAATTGGAAAAGAAAACAGATTTCAAGTGATGAATCTTGTAAAACTTGATTTTGCAGAGAATAAATATTTTGAAAAAAAAGCCTGATAGCAGTTTACTTTAAAAACTTCTTACGTGAATAACGAATTGTGTTATTCTGTTTCATATCTTCGGACCCTCTACGGTACAGCAATCCAAGAATTTCGATAGATCATTACGATTTTTAGCACACAAATATGTACAGATATCTTCAATAAAATATCAATATTATCTATGATTCGTGATTACTGCGTTTTCTTTGAAAAATAAATAAATAAATAAATAAATAAATACATAAATAAAATCGATTGAAGATTTATAAAAAGCAAGTGAAAAGTCCTGGGCTCGTGGTAGCTTTTTGGTGACTGGTGAAAATATTTTTTGACATTTGCTTACAATTTTTGTGTCGTCCATAAATATCTGTGTAACCACCAGCTTTCCAAAAAAATGTCCGCAAATGCATATAAGTGCTGTGAAAAACCAAATACCATTACATCTCTATGTGTCAAGCGCTATAAACAAACCAAAGACAAAACGAAGACGTTGCCACCCGAAGGAAAAAAAGCTTCGCTACAGAAATTACCCCAAAAAAATACGTATATGTTGACTCTCGTATCTTCTGTTTTCTAGACTTCAGCCAGCATGATTCGGCGGTGATCACACGATATTATCAGTATCAGGAGATGTATTTACGTCTGCTCGCCGAAGGCAAAAAAATACCGAACACCTTCGTCGATAGCTCATCAGTGGCCATCGACGAGTCGGAAAAAATGTCGTTAACGCGTAGATCGAGGCAAATGCCGACGACGACAACGACGACGACAACTGCGGCGGCAGCAGCAGCAGCAGCAGCGGCGGCAATCGTTAACAACAGCATGATGGATTCGCCCTGCTATTCCTGCACCAAGTGCGGAAACGCGTACGGCCGATTGCACTCGCTCAATCGACACCTCAGGTTCGAGTGCGGCGTCGAGCCGAAATTCGAGTGTCCCGTGTGCCATAAGAGATCGAAGCACAAGCACAATCTTGTTTTGCATATGAGGACTCATCAAAAAGCCTGATGAATCATTCGAAATTTTATTCATTTTTTGTTTCTCTTCAAATTATCCAAAATACTTATTGAAATCCTATGAAAATATTTTTATTGTTATGATTACTGTCATAAATATATATTTCGTCATACTATTGCATAAAATATTTTATATTTTTACTTTAACGTAAGACTGAGCTTTCCTAAATGTATTTAAATACCAGTTTGATCAAGTGTGCATGTTTTTCAATAAAGACATCAAAGAAATCAACAATTAATACTCCTACTTGGCTCTTCTTTCCAACATCTATCATAATTATTCATGTAGAGTTCAATAGGAAAGAAAGAAAAATATTTTGCTTTGTAAAACGCAATACGACCATAAAATTCTAATCGCACCAAACGGTCGACATCTTCGACTTGTTTCATGTTTTAGATAAACATAAAGAGTACTACGTCTGTCATCGTTGCGGTCGCAGCTACACGTTCAAGAGTAACATGATGCGACACCAACGCCTCGAGTGCGGTGTTGAGCCAAGATTCCAATGTCCCGAGTGCCCGAAGCGCTTCAAGCACCGCCATCATCTGGACGACCACAGATTGAAGCACCGGTTGGCCCGAGAAAGAGAAGAGCGCGATCCTTTAGAATTTGATCTTGTAAATGAATGAGTCTATGAATGAGACCTTGTAAAAAAAAAACAATTTTGACTGTAAGACTTTTAGTTTTCGATTATTTGTGCGCCGTTTCGATTCAAGTTTTTTAAAATAAATTTTACAAATAAGACTTTTTTCATTGTGTTGGACTAATTTTATCTTGTACAGCCAATTTATCACTAACAATTAACAATTGGAAGGAACTTCCCTCCCCCCCTCTTCAATCCGAGAAAAACGCAATGCTCGACAGCGCAAGATTTTTCTGACCAAAAATCCCGTTGAACTTTTCTGTTTTAGGCTACTTCGTTTATCCTCCGCCGCTTCCCCTGCAGCAGGATTTCGCGATAATGGGCGAGGAGCGCTTCCGGTGTCCGCGCTGCAACACCACCTTCTCGCGCAAAAACAATCTGCACAATCATCTCAAGTTCCAGTGCGGCCAGAAGCCGCGCTTCAGTTGCCCCTACTGCGACTACAGAACCAAGCACTCGCCCAACGTGAGGACCCACGTGCGACGACTGCACCCTAACAAGAAGGTTTACGTGGTCGATGTTTTGCAGGGTTTCGGCATGTGACGTCGCTGAGTGTCGACGAATGTTGGTTAGAGATGGTTTTACTTTTGAGTGCACCCTGTGTAATGCAAGGGATATGTGGTCTTGTTGCGAATTTTTCAGCGATCGAATTTATTGTAGGTGTAATTTTAAAAAGTTGTGTCTTTGACATAATATGGACTATGTGTCTCGTTCATCAGTATTAATTATATTAATAGTTTTCTTATATCGCGTTAAAAGCTTTAAAATTGAATAAAATATTTATATTTATTAAAATTGTAACATTTTTTACTATCCTAATTATCTTTTCTTTTTTTATTACCACTTGTTTATTATGATTTTTAATAACACAATTAATTTTTACCTTATTTCAGATTTTTTTAAACCAATGGGACTACCAAAATCTTTGATTGTGCATATACTTTGAGACGAAACAATCATCTAATTTTATGTAGAACTGTTGATATTATTTTACTTAAATCACTATCTTCGGATTATCCCGAATCGGTCGCATGATTTAAACGACAAATGCAAAAGACCACAAGCATAACCGTAGAATATTTTTTGCAGAGCTGGATTGGTACGATTTTACGAATGAATTGTCCCAGGCGCCGAGGAGAATCGGCCGAAAGCGCGACCTGGGCAAGCAGCAGTTCCACTGTCCCAACTGCCCGAGCAGTTTTACGTACGAGCGCGGCCTGCAGCAACACGTCAAGTACGCCTGCCAGCAAATGCCGCGCTTCAAGTGCCCCTACTGCTCGTACATATCCAAGTGGCGGTACAACACGTACAATCACGTGCGCCACAGTCACAAGGGCCTGGACGTTTATTGCCTCGACGCGATGAGCGCCGAGGTCGCCGACACGATCATTCGCGAGGACGATCAGGCGGCACCAGCACGCTCCGATTTCATTGGCAGTCATCGCCTCCAATAGCGATGAGAATGTCGTCGACATTTCGAACGACGATGATGCTATATTTTCTTACGTGTATATGAACATATTCGAATTAATGTAGTTAGCGAAAGTTTTGAATTTTCGTCTTACGATCCACTTCGATGGTACTCAATTTTATCTTTTTGTACAAGCAAGCCAATTTAAACTAATTTTGTTCAAGTCAAGCAAGAGAGTATATTTTTTCTACCATATACATAGTGGACAATGTTAAAGTTGCTTGTGGTCCTCATCGTATTCAAATAAAAATGTTCATTCAAACCTTTAAAAATTTTATTAATTTATTTTTTTCTTGGGTTTCAATTGTTGCATCTTAAATAAAAACTGTTATATAACATTGAAATTCCAAATGCTCCTTATAAAGTTGCTGCTTTAAGTTAAGGAGACTCAGAAAACTGGTCTAAATGGAAATTTTCATATATGGTTTCTGATATTCAGTGGAAATTTCGAAAATCATGTTCGAAAATTATCATTTTAATCTGGCTTCAATATCTTCTTAATGATTATTTTTTTCAAAAATCGTATTTTTAACTTTCATCGATTAAAAAGATAATTTTTCTAAAAATTCAATGTTGCTTATTTTCCGCCTTGGAAAAAAAACATTAAAGTGACTTTTAATAAGTTTGAGTTTTCTAAAAAATACTATTTTCACAAGGTGGCAGGTCAAGTGTAACAATAATAATGTTTTCCATCAATAATGTTTTGTATTATTTATCGACAATATGCATTTTTTAACGCATGTCTTATATTCATTATTAAAAATACACATCCATAATTAACACGAAAAATTTTTTATTTTCAGATTGTTCTGTTCCTTACGAGAGAATTTTTGTCGCCAACATTGAGGACACATCGTCGGCTTCGCAACAAGAAAAAAACGTATGCTGGAACTGTGGTAAAGTTTACAAGCATTATCGTAATCTCTATCGTCACATAAAGATGGAATGTCAACAGCCGCCAAGATACATCTGTAATCATTGTAGTTACCGTTCGAAACACAAAAACGACGTCATGAAACACTTGATGAGAATGCACGGGGCCGATAAAAGTGATTTTTCTTTCGATACTACGGGGATGGTTTTCACTTGCTAGCGGGTTGTTTTTTTTTTTTTTTTTTTATTAGATAGGTAATTCATGAATGCGACAATTGTATAATACTAACTTTCGATAATAAAATTTTATTGTGTTATTTATATGTGTTTATTATTCCATATACTGCTGTGCAAAAAAAGTATACACGAAACCCCGACGCTTAAGTCCCTATATTCTTAGCATGTTAGAATTATCATAAAACCTTCATTAACAATTCGACAATTAATTTATTGACGATATTAATTTTAGGGGCAAATATTGAACGCAAGCACAAGTGCTTGAAATGCGGCAGATGTTACAAACATAGACAGCATTTGTCACGACACAAGACAACCGAGTGTGGCAAACCACCTTTATTATGCTGCTCCTATTGTCCATGGCGAACCAAGCACAAACACAACATGTTATATCATATTAATAGCCGCCACAGAGGAATGAAGTTTGAGTTTATTAAATTGGTACCTAACATGGAATTTAAGTAAACGTCAAAATTAAAAGCATATCGGTGTATGTATGTATATAATATAATATACAACACATTTTTGAAGTATTGATTTTAAAGAGTTTTGAAAATATTATGTTAAAATATTATTTATTTCAACTTTATGAGCAATTCCAAATTATGTAGGTCTATACATTTAGCCTTTATTTCGATTTACTTTTAAACCTTAAAATTTAAATTTAAAACTCAAATTGTTTTTATCATGTTCAATAAACTGTATGAAGTTTTGTATAAAATTTGTATGTAAATGACACAGTTATAAAAAAATGACTATTTCCTCTAGTAAATAAAAAAAACTAAAAATATTTGCAGGGTGTAGTTCATCTTTTTTACATTCAATATATTTTCAGAAACATCCACTCCCCATTCTCATTAAAATTAACAACTACATCTCTCATTCAAAAATTTTCATTTTTTTAAAACTATCATCTTTCATAAACTAATAAATTATTCATTTTCAGGCTATTCCGTCATTTACCCGCAAACCGAACTCAAATATCAGCAGCACACCGATGAATTTGGCGTAAAATTTCACAAGTGTAACAGATGCGAGAAGTCTTACAAAAATCGATCACATTTAAAGAGGCACATTGATTTCGAATGTGGCAAGCCGCCGAGATTTTGTTGTTTTTACTGTACCCAACGTTGCAAACATAAAAGTGATATCAAAAACCATGTGAAAAGATGTCATAGAGGTGCAGAGATTAATTTTTACGAATTAGATGAATAGCTTGAAAAGTAGCATTCACCTATTTGTAAAGTATTTGATAAAAATTACAAAATATTTAAATAAACATCAATCTTTATACGCAAAATATTCTGGTTTTTTTTTCCAATTGATATAAATATTTTTCAGCTCAAATAAACTCACACGATCAATCATTTTCAATACTAAAACTTCTTCTTACACTTCTTACATTTGTAAAAATATGAAAGTAAAAAGATCTCATGTACCGTCGAAATTAGTATTATGTAAAATATAGAATAGCTAATAATTATAGCTGAAAAAATGCGTCTAATACTATTTATTATAGCATTAATTAGTATTATTATAGTATTAGACGCTATGGATACTAAACAAGTCATTACAATTGATATAATTTGAATAATATCTGTATTTTCTTGATATTTTGATTTTTATTCAATTAAGAGAGGATTGTAAATTCTTCTTTCAGATTTAAACTTGCATCTAGCTAAACTATACGTAAATTTTGTGTTTAACTCGATATCATTATTCAAAAATTGTGACAAACAATTTCGTAAAACCAAAAATCACAAAAATGAAATGATGTGTATTGAAATTTACTCAGTGCTCGATTTTTC